CCCAAGAGTAATCATTCTATGACACAAGTTCTTTTAACTAAAGTAATACTTTTTATGACACATTTGTCTTCTCAAGACAATCATGTCATCTTGCATCATCAATTTTTGAAACCATTCAAACAACCAATTATTACATTTCAAAAATATATAATTTATGTCATGCAATGAACATTATAGATAATTTAATCAAATTAAACATCCTACATTAAAATTACCACCATCATACATACATAATATCACAATTCATCATATGAATTAATAATCCATAATTTTATGCTAACATCAAATTCCACCACTAAACACTTGCAACATTTGCATACACTTATGCAAAAATATACTTTAATCAAATTAAAGATAACACATTTAGCATGCAAAGCATAAACCATTTAATCAAAGTAATGAAATGAACATGCATGAACATTTTTCTAAATGAATCACATGCAACATTTCCTAAAACATCATTCATCAATACATGAATGAAATACATATCTATGGCAAAACTAGTCATGGCCGAAAATGACTATATGCATGCAGTAGTTCTCAACACATCTCATGCATAATCATCCTCCAAACATGCTTTAAATCATATTCTAACATCCAAACATATTAGAGCAAGAAGAAAAACTGTTTTCCCCAAACAGAGATGGCCGACATACACATGCATCAAACATGCTTATCATCAAACAACTATTCAATACAAAGGCATGCTCATATAAACCATTATCATCATTCAAAAATATAGAATGAAGAAAAATGAACATATACCTCTGATCTATGTAGGCCGAGACATGCATGTAAAGATCTATTATGAAAAAATCATTTTTGAACCATATCACTAACATGCAAACTCAACCAAGTTTGATGAACATATGAACACATGGAAATGTCATTTTAGCTTATAAATTCGACATGCAAGGAGCTTTTAGCTCTAATACCATTTGAAAGACCAGCATGAATGCATGAAGAGTGGTGGAAATGGAGAAGAAAGCATGAAATGATGCATTAAAAAAAACGGTTTTTAATACAAAGCTTGAAAAGAAATTATCCTACTCCTTTGCTTTGGATTATGAGATTACTTCAAAAGGATGAACCTCCACACTTTAACACCACCTTGAGAGATTAGAGAGTGGTCGGTGTTTGAGAGAGAGTTTTTAGTTTGTGTTTTTGTGAACAAGTCAAGAATGAATAAAATGCAACCTTTTGCACTTATATATACTTGGGCAGTTTTGCAATTATTTATTTTTCACTTCCAAGCCCAATAAAATCTTATTTTATAAAGGGATCCCGAATTTAATTGCTACCCTTTGATAATCAATATTATTCAAGGGCCCATGTAAACTAAACTAGTTTACATTAACAACCCATATTACCCTTTTTACCCTTTAACTATTAAAAGGTTATTTTTGTTCATCTCATTAATCTTAACACTTTAAGATATAATAATTAAATATAATTAATTATTGCTTGACCATTTTAACCCTTAAAATGTCACAAAAAATTTTCTATGTAACTATTACTATAGAAATCCCGTCATTACCCTCGGAAGGTGTTAGCCCTTCGGATAATCATTTCTCTCTCTCATCCTTCTCTAACTTCTCAAGGCTATTGGTGTGACCATGTAGGTCCACCGTGGATTAGCTATGAGCTGGTTTTGGATGAATCCGAAAACTTGTCCAAGGCCTAACGACTATGGTAAACATCTAGCAATGTGCCATAGTCCCTAAACCACGATGAAGAAATACTTCTCGAACCCATTTCAGATCATACGTAGCATGCAGGTAAAGTCCCTCCATTGAGATATCCTGATCGAGCATGATTCTGGAACGTCAAAATCCTAACTCGATCTTCTACTGAATCATCGATCAATATGTCCGGAACTCATCATCACAAACTTGCTTTTGTATGACTAATAATAAACTCTGGCCAGAGATTGTTTTCTGACATTTATCGATTTTCATCTAGGAACTCGAATCCGAATGGAGTCAGCGATACTCCCGACCTATATTTTCGAGTCAATGGATCCCTTCTTGACCATCGTTCATTTCCGCATATGAACAACACATGACCAAATAGGCTTTATTATATGAAACATGATTAGTCTCGTACTTATACACCGTATGAATCATACGCATCCATATCGGATCTGACTACATGTCTCAGGTCAAAGGACTACATCGTACACTGATATAACCAAACGATAAATCATGACTACATGTTTTTCCAAGTGATTTGTCGTTATTCGGTCACGTTCGAAAAATAGTTCACCAACCGTAAATCCTACCAATGCCCTAATGACATGACTATCATCGTCATCATACTTATATCAACTCATGATATCTTTCGGAAGCATCTGATATGCCTACTATGCATATATTTGCCCAAATTATATTGCTTCCGTAGGAACCCTTTTTGATAATTCATTTACCGATTAAATGAATCATCTGGACAATTTATATACATACTTTATTTTAAATGCATGACTGAATAAAGGAAGCAATTTATATTAGAATTGAAGAACTCTTTCTTCTATTATCTATGATATATATAGATACAGACAAAATGCTCTAAAACCGACAACACGAATGGTTTCAGGGCATACACTAATATACACTACAGTTTGTGTTGATTGATTATTTGTTGGATTACAGGTTAATTAAAAATAAAAGTTAAATAATTTTTTTTTTAAAAGTGGCAACGTTCAATCCAAACGATTCTAGTTTTATTTGTGATCATGCACAAACGTTGTATTTGTGCATCATTTGCTTTTTAAGTAGCAAACTCTCTCCCCTGAACCTGACAAAATGGTGATGGTTTTCTCTCTTCTTTGTGATTGCATTTCTTTATTTCAATCAAAAAGGTAATATTAATCATTTACATGTTAATTTCTTTTCTTATTTGCGGTTGCTAAAACATTGCACCTGTTGGGATGATATAAACCCATTGCCAAGTTACAAGATTTAGTTTTTTTATTTGTCTAAAAAACTTATCAGATCAAATAAAAAATATAAATCTTGACATCCTTGCAAGGTGCTTTTTCCATCAAGGTATCTTCTAATCTTTTAGAACCCTTCTATTTTCATTGCTTTTAAATCTTCCCAACCGTCAACTGTAGTCAGTTGTATTCTATTATTTAATGCTTATAAAATCTCTTTTACTATATTTCTTTTTTTGCTTCAGTCCTTTGACTTTCTGCTTCATCTTTATCATATTTTCAGCTATTTACATATTCACTTAGTTCTGTTGGTTACAATCTTGGATATGTGAGTGTTTAATTTACTGGATGTGTGATTTAAACCTAGGTCTATATCATTGTCCAAGTATTAATGAAGGTTATACCCGGAATGACTTTGGACAATGCAGTTAATATCATGTAAAGAACACACTACAATGGATTGTCTGTTGTGATTATTTGTTCTCAAATGGATGCAGAGGATCACTGCATGCAACTAAGAGGCAATGGGCTACTGAGTTCTATTGAACCTGCAAGTGGTGGTGGTTGCTGAAGAGATGTAGCCCTAGTGAAAAATCCCCTGGGTTTATTCTTCCCACAAAGTCATATAAATATGTATCAACAGTTCAGTCTAATATTTTATTTTTGATTTTATTTGTAATAGGTTTTTTTTGTAATTTGTTTTGGAGTTTATTGTGTGTAAGCACAATGTTGATTTTGTTATAAGGTTTTGATATGTAAATACAACATCATGTTTGGATTTGGACTTTGAATTGTTGTTAAATACTTAAATTATGTTAGGATTGTTGTTGAATTTGAACTTTGAATCATGTTGGACAGTAATTAAGTTGTTATTGCCTTATTGAAAAATAGAAATCTAAAAAAAAAAATTATTTTTTTTAAAATGTGCTAATGTCATCATGATGTGTGATGATGTCACCGGTCCAATCAGCGGTCCAACCGGTTGAACCGTGACCCTACCATCAAAGCGGTTTACCCTACGGTCCGGTTTTTAAAACAATGCTTGTATGTGAGGGTTCCACATTATATTGGTTTAGAATCTTCAAATCATTTCCTAGCAAAGAAACAAATAGTTGAAGCCTTCCAAGATAAGGGACATGCAACTATTGTTATTATTGAGGGAAGTTGTTCTGAAAACTATCAAAAATTCAAAGTCTAAAAGGAGGAAGAATGAAAGAACAATGCACTTTCTAGGTAACTGCATGCATTCAACTAGATGAGTATCTATAATTTAGTATATTATGTATTGATTGATTTTCCCAAAGGAAAAGATCAAGTAGTGAGAATTATTTTGTGTACTAATCAAAGATTGATCAGTTTGTTGTCTTTGTCCACTAATTTCTATCTTTGAAAAATCAATTAAAGTTAATGAGAATAAAGAAAAGACAATTTTAATTACTATTTTAAATATTCAAAAAAATAAAAGTGCTTTTTTAAGTAGGCTAGTACCGGCACATGATTTATTAGCATTGTCAAAAATTCAGTATCTTTTAACATTATCAAAAATTCAAAGTCTAAAAGGAGGAAGAATGAAAGAGCAGTGCACTTTCTAGGTAATGGCTATTTATCTATTTTCATTTGATACAAATCACGATGAGTTAAAAAGAATTTAATGACTCTGCACTAATTCTTCCACACGGATAAATATGTTCCATCCTAGTTCAACTTTTAGGCTTTTATGCCTATCAAAGATGTGGAAATTACAAACAATAAATTCATAACCATTTGACACTAGTTTAGCAACATGGTCTTTCTTGGTAACTATATGACTTTTGACCATTAACTAAACTACTGAAATTAATAAAAAAAATTCACTCGAGGTAAATGATTGGAGAGTTTGAACTTTTAATCCAGTTATCATGGACTGATTATTTACTGTTCCATCCCTTTCAAAAATTCAAGTAGGCCAGTACCGGAACATAGATTTAGCATTATCAAAAATTCAAAGTCCAAAAGCAGGAAGAATGAAAGAGCAATACACTTTCTAGGTAACTGCGTGCATTCGTTGGATGAGTATATATAATTCAGTATGGGTCTTCCCAAAGAAAAAGATCAAGTAGTGAGAATGGCTCTTCATCATCTGGTGTTGTTGCAAATCATTTTGTTACTCTGGCCAATCAAAGCATCAGACGCTTTTTTCTGTCCATACCTTTGTGGTAATGTCAGCATAAACTACCCCTTTGGATTCGGAGAACAATGCTGCTTCAATAAAGAATTTGAAGTAAGTTGCGACAACTCTTCTAGCCCTCCAAAAGTTTTCTTAACTAGCATCAACCTTGTACTAGTAGAAGATATGGAATATAGAAGCTCTAGTTTTCGGGTCAACTTCCCTGTAATTTCTTTGCATAATAACAAGAAATTTGTTTTTGAAGACTTTAGCTTGTCAGGAACCCACTTTGCCCTCTCAAATACCCTCAATACGTTCGTTGCCGTTGGTTGTGACAGCTATTATGAGCAGAGTAAATCAACTCTTGCTACATGTCAGTCCTTCTGTCATTGTGATCCTACTAAAGCTCGTGGTTGCTGCGATTTCATATGCACCGTTCCTAGGAATTATACGTTTGATAGTATTGCAACTATATCAGAGGTATATTCCGCAAGTATTCCCCCAGAAATGGAGTGCAATTCTGCATTCATGGTTGACAAAGAATGGCTTCAGTCAAACTACCAAATAACGAATTCATCGGTTTTGAAAGGTAAAGAACATTCTCCTGCAGCGCTGGAATGGGGAAGATATAAAGGGTCATGTGTGGAACTATATAATTCAGACACAACTTGTGATTTGGATGGTGACTGTATAATAAAATTAGACGCAGGCTATATTTGTAATTGCCATCAAAGCAGATCTGACAGCCACAAAGGATGTTCAGGTACGTTAATGTTAAAAAAATTACTGTAAATCGAAAAAGGGAAGATTTAATTTGTAGCCGTGAATTAAATTAATTTTTTTTAATTTTCTCAGGCGAATTGATCTGTAATTCTACCGGCGGCTACGATTGCTCCGGATGTCCTCATGGTTATAAAAAAGATGGAAGGGAGTGCTCTTCACCAAAAAAAATTGAAGATATATTTATAAAGAAATCTCGGGCCAGATTTTTTGCTATCATAGGTACGCTTCTCACAAGTATCCCATGCTGTTTCAAATATATTATTATCCAAAATAAAAAATGTAGAAATAAATATACTCCATGATGATGGATATGCAGTAAAAAATAAAACATGATGCAATATTTATCCTTGAGTTGTGCTGCAGGTTGTTCTACTGGGCTTGGAACCTTGTTGCTCGTCATTGGAGTATGGTGGTTGTACAAGGTCATAAGAAAGAGAAAAGCAATCAAGTTGAAGCATAAATTCTTTAAAAGAAATGGTGGTTTATTACTGCAACAACAGTTGTCTTCCACTGAAGGTAACATCGAGAAAACACGACTGTTTACTTCAAAGGAATTAGAAAAAGCTACCGACAACTACAATGCGAATCGAATCCTTGGCCAAGGAGGCCAAGGCACCGTGTATAAAGGTATGTTAGCTGATGGCAAAATTGTAGCAATTAAAAAGTCCAAAGTTGTAGATGAAAGTCAAGTTGAGGAATTCATTAACGAGGTGGTCATAATATCTCAAATTAATCACAGAAATGTGGTTCAATTATTGGGGTGTTGCTTAGAGACAGAAGTTCCGATTTTGGTGTACGAATACATTTCTAATGGAACTCTCTTTCATTATATACACGATGAGAATGAGGAGTTTCCAATCACATGTGAGCTACGTCTACGCATTGCCTTAGATGTTACAGATGCTCTATCATATCTACATTCAGCAGCTTCCATACCTATATACCATCGAGACATTAAGTCAACAAACATACTCTTGGATGATAAATATCGAGCAAAAGTTTCAGACTTTGGGACTTCCAGATCCGTTACAATTGACCAAACTCATTTGACCACTCAAGTACATGGAACCTTTGGATATGTAGATCCAGAGTATTTTCAATCAAGCCAGTTTACTGATAAAAGTGATGTTTACAGTTTTGGCGTTGTTCTCGCTGAACTTTTAACTGGACAAAGGCCGATTCTTTCAACCGAATTTGCTGAAGATAGAAGTTTGGCTTCTTATTTTCTTCGTGCAATGAAAGAAAATCGACTATTTGATATTCTTGATGTTCGAGTTTCAAAAGAGGGTGAAAACGAAGAGATTATGAATGTTGCTAATCTTACAAGAAGATGTTTGAATTTAAATGGAAAGAAGAGACCTACAATGAGAGAAGTGGCAATTGAATTAGCGGGTAATACTAGAGCGAGTGGAGCCTCAGTGGTGCAGCAAAACTACGAAGAGGATGATTTTGCCGAGTGTGAGACAACAGATCAATATGTAACTGGTTCATCTTTCAGTACTGGATCCTTTTTTGACGGTGTCACTTTAGATGTTGACCCTCTTATTTCCAATTAATGTTGAATTAGTAAATTTCTGATATTTCTACTATATGCATCCTATTGGTACTCGTTGTATCCTTTATGAGCTATTTTATATATGTTGTTTGATTATTGTTATGTAATGAAATGCTCATCAGATTGTATGGATAAGTATAATTGTCAAGCAAATTTATTCAATAGCAAATAAACCATTGATCATATATTTGCAAGAAAATGATTAGCGCCTTGGGTTGGAACCTCAGAAAAAGGAGACGGAGCGAAATCCATAATAGCTTTTCTTCTTCATCATTTGGGAGAAGTTTGCTACTTTTATCAGTAGTTTAATGTATCCTCCGAAAGAATTAGCATCTATATGGAACTGTCTGAAAATACACAGGATACATCAATCGATTTCGTTACTATCAATAACCTTAAAATTCCATAAACATTTTCAAATTGTTTTCCAGGTATTTTCTCGGGTGTGTTTGCTTAACTAGAAAATTCAGCCATAATGTTGGTCTATCGGCTCTGAAACCATGAAAAATAAAGAAACAGAAAACTTAGATTTGAGGGGAAATAAATTGAAGATTGAGAACTTTGTTACAATTACTGAAAACTAATCTGCTGATTTCGCTACCCAGCAGTCTAGGGTTGTTTGCTTTGCATGAGATATACCACGAAATTAGGAACTAGAAAAACAGAATGATTTTCTTTTTTAAGGCAAACCTTGGTGGAACGAGTGAAATTTTATAATAGAAAAAAGAAATATGATACCTAAACAGGGGATATATCAAGTAATGAACCTTACCCCTCGAATAAGACCAAATAAGATAATAAAAGAAAAAAAATGAAAGAAAACAATGCAGAATGGTTAAAATACAATAATGAATATTTGCTTAAGAGGAGATTTAGAGTTCAGAAGCTGAGAAGTAGCTTTAGCTTAACTGAAGAACTAAATACTGTAACAATTTCTAACTCATAGTAAAAAAGATAACAGAACTAACAGAGTTAACTAAACTGCTTTGTGAGTTTAAACACTGAGTCAACTCACTTTGAGCTTTACATGTTCTCTTTGTTGCATACTATTAGTAGAGCAAACATTATTCAAATTTTATCTAACATAATTAACATAAATATTAATGGGTCAAGTAAATTAAATTCTGAAGCAAAGCAAGTTCTTATGTCTGCTACGGCACTGGTTGGACCAAGGCCAATAGTTCTTCAATAGTTCTCATGTCCAACAATGAAACAAACTAGCGGGGGCCTTCCAAGTAAAGGGGTGCAGACAGGTATTCTAATTATTATCCCCCTACTGACTCATTCAATTATTGAATCAAATGGCCCTTTAACTCAGTGGTACAGTAATGCCATGGTAAGGCGTTTGAATACATATGGAGGGTCGGAGGTTCTAAATGTTTTTAAGAGATTTTCTTTATTTTTCGTTTGGCACTCAGATATTTCACAGAATCCGTCTTGGCCTCCTGATTTCTTAGGAGTGCCAGGATCTTAAGGATACAAACGGTCAGGATAGATCCTATTAATTTGGTATCAGAGTTTAGGTTTGAGATTTTGTGAACATTTGCATGATACACACATTTAGTTTGCATTATTGCCATTGCATTTTGTAGATATCATTATACGTCAACATGGCCAACCTCGCACAAGACTTATAGCACAGTTGGGGATGCAAGGGAAAATGAATCTAACCGAGCTAGTAGAAGAGTCAGTTGCCCATCCGATGGTATCCTCAGTAAAGGTAATCGCACTTGAAAATACGGAACAGGCACAACCTACTGCATCTAACGTAGAAGTCGCAAGAGCACCAGTGTTTTATGTGGATTTTATTAACAGATCTTAACGGTGAGTGAGAAAGTGCCTTTTTTAAACTCTTAGGGTGGGAAATAACTTAGGCCAAACCTTGGGTGGGAAATTGTCATTCTCCCCTTTTTTAGATGCCATTTTAATGGGCAGGGGATATTTAATACTTTCCTCAAAACCTTGGATACATATAGCTGATCTCTCAAGGGCTGGATAATAAAAATCTTTACTTGGAATATAGTGATTGTTGGGCTTACAGATTCAATTACCAACCTAATCATTAAAAAAATTTAAAATATTTATATTTATGTATACATCACAAAAAATACATTAACATTAAAAATTATTCCAACAAATAATGATCACAAAATATATAAATAAATAAGGTTTCAAATAATATAAAATGTCTAATTAATTACATAAATAACTAATTGTCACTTAACACATTAATACCATCATAATTTTAAAAATAACTTTTAATTAGGATGGGTGTATAGTGGGCCAAAGTCTGATAATACAATCATGTACCTGAATTCAATAGTGGTGTTATTTAAGCCCACCCAAACTCTTTCCACAGGCCAAGATTAATTAGAAAAAAAAAAAAAAAAAAAAGTAATACTATGTTCATATACTTTTCTTATTAACTCTTTTCTCATAAATGCGATGTGACAGCTCACAATTGATTAGCTCGTAATATATCTCATCTACCTAGTAATGGATCCCGTCTGATCAATTGTGAATTGTCATATCACATTTGTGAGATAAGAAAAGTTTGTCGACTTATCTTTATTTAAAAAAATAAATAAATAAATAATGCTATTGTTACCTCAAAAATTATCTTATTAGACCAATCTTATTATTTTTTAACTACAACTTTATCCTTAAAAGAAAATTACTTAAGAGGACGTTATGAAAATTATATTTATAAGATAAACCATTGTATTATTATTCCAAAAATCTCTTATTTTCCTTATTCATGATAATTATATTTAAAATATAATTACTCTTTTTCATGAGTTATATGTTACCTTTCTTAAATAATGAAGATGAAATTCTATGGTTTATTTTTCCTTTTCTTTATTTAAATTTTATTTTATCCCTTTGTGTGTAACTTTTAAGTTTCGTTGGTTGTGAGCACTGGAATTGCTTTACGAAGAAATGTTCGTCTTAGAATCTTCTGTATTTTAGTTTTTCTATATATATATAAAATTTATTTTATCTGTTAACTTTTGTGACATCTTCCATATTGGTAGAACGTCCAAATAAATTGCTATATTTTAATGAAGAAAACTTTATTTACTATCTTCAACATCATTTCATGCTATAATAATAGTCTCATGAGCAAAAGGAGATAAATATTAAAGCTAATATGGAAATAAAAAGGGTTTGCTTAGATATTTATATAGCTCCAAAACTGGTAATGGAGTATATTAAAAAATGGGGCTTAATATAATCTAGCCTCGATGAACTATGGATTGACTGTAGGCCTTGCATAGGTAAAATGGGCCGAGTCATTTTTTGTAGGCCCTAAATGCCAGCCAGCCAAGAAGGGCCCTGCTTTTATCTAATTAAATTACTCCTCTATTTCTATTCTCATACTTTCATTTCTATCATGACTAGAGATGTTAAAAGGGCGTGAGGTGAGGGTGGGTGTGGGACATCTGCCCAACTCATCAATTTAAATTCAACCATTCCAATTTATTTGATGACCTAAATCCGTCTAGTACTTAATTTGAAGGAAGTGTGGTTCAATATGGGCACTTGGTATATTACTCCAAGAGGTCATGAGTTTGAATCTCCCTTCAATTGCTAATAGAAATATTCACTAGAGCTCTTACATGACCAGTGGTTCTAAGGTCTCAAATGATTAGTTGAGGTATGCGTGAGCTAGCTCGAAAACCTTGGTCATAAAAAAAAAGAGTGAACAACATATTTCTATCCAACGTTTCGCGAATCTATAAGTTCTCACCCCTGGTTTCATAAATTCTAGATTTTCACCCTTAAATCAACTCCATTAGTAAGTTTTGCGTCGGATACAGTATAAAGATTGCTATTACCAAATTGCCCTTAACACATAAATTAATAAATTAATTTTTATCCCCCAAATTAGTAGAATTAAAAATAACCATTTTACTTTCAAATTTATTTTAATAACATCCTCTTGTTCAACTTTTTTTTGGGGGGGCTCTTCTTCAACCTTTTTTTTTTTTTTGTTTTGTCTCTTCTTCAACCCTTCCTATTCTCTGGCCGTTGCATCGCCAAAAATCACCTCCGACCCCACCAATAGACTCACCAGTGTCCCCCCACCAAAACCCCTAACCTCCTCCACCTCATTAGCACACTGATTGTTGTCACCAACCCCTTAAGGTTTCACGCGATTATCACATCTTGCCAAATTTAAGTCGATCCTGACATCGAAAATCACCCCCATGATGGCCAACTGCACCACCAACATCCTCTCCAAAAGCCCCAACACCCCCAACCTCGATTGCTTGTAGTTTGCCATCCACCACTCTCTTAGGGTTTCACTTAATTGATGAAATTAGGTTTGATTGAGGTTGATTTTGACAAGAGATCGGTTTTTTGGAGTGTTTGTGTATTTGTTGGTTGTTTTTAGATTTTTTCGAACATTTTCCCTTCCAACGTCCACCAAAATCCCTACCCCCAAATTGCGCCCAACAATTGCTCGACCTATTGCCCCAACCAACAACAAGCCAACCCAACACCAACACCCTGCTGTGCACCCACCTTCGTCGCACTTCCTTAGTCCCTAGTCAACACATGATGTGTGCTCCCTCCTGATCGACACACTTCCACCCATTAATGCAGTCATTTGCTCAAACTGATGTTGTGTATCATATACCAATGGTGTTGGCAGTGGGGGTGGTGGTGGTGGAGTTAGAGGCGAAGAGGAAGGGTTGGGTTGTGAAAAAATTTAAGATGTAGAGTGTTTTAAAATTTTACTAATTCAGGGGAGTGAAAGAAAATATGGTTTACCCTTTTTTAGACAAAAAGAATATCCTTTGACCTTTATATTAAATGATTTTATGTTAATTTAAGGATAAAAATTTAGAATTTATGAAACCAGAGCTGAAAACTTTTAGATTTACAAAACCTTTGGTAGGATCATGTTTACTCAAAAAAAAAAATTTTAAGTAAAGGCTTATCCTCATTGATACAAATTTAAAATAATAATAAATTTATGAAATGAAAAAAAAAAAAGTGGGGCCAGAAACTCCATAGAGCGAGGCTCACAGGTGTGCCCCCCATAAATAGCAAAGGACGGCCAAGCATATAAGGTAAATAATCAGACACGCACATCAAAGCT